CTCAGGAAGCTTCCTCGTCTGACAGTTTCTTGAAACTTTGTTTAAGTCCTGATACGGTCTGTTTACAATCAGGAAAGTCATTTTGGTCTGGTTGGTGTCGGTATCTAAGACTACTGACACTGGCACGTCCTTTTTCTGCTGGTAAAACTATGATGGAAAAAATAACCCAGACACCAACCGCCAGCACTGAACCCCCCACCGAGTTCACATCCACTGCATTCCTGCCCTACGTCAAAGGCTTCTCGGAACAACTTCGCCGCTGTTTACAACAACTAGGTATACATGCTGTTTTCAAATCAGAGACAACGCTACGATCGCAACTAGTACGCCCTTAGGATGCCGTTGACCTGGCTTAACAGGATAGCGTTGACATCGGCGAAACTACTGGCAGACCTATGCGGAATATAGAGGGTAAGTTTCTAAAGGAACTGTGCTGCTGCGTCGGTGGGAGAGTATAGCAGGTAATTTAGTGTAAACAACTAGAGTTTAAAACGTAAATTGGCCACCGTAAAGGGTAAAAAAGGTGACGTTTCGAGCGTTAGCCCATCCTGGGCTGTGAGTCGATTTCAAGTTAGGGCGGAAGAGCCCCTGGGGACATTGTCTTACAAGACTAGTTCCAAACGGTCGCAGTCGTTCTGGCATCTGATTGGTGCCAGAAAATCTTTGTGTTTTTCTGCCCAATCAGAGTGAAGTATGCTTTAGAGTCCTTTCGTGTGTTTTAACACGGAGATGTACAAGAAGTTCAGTTGCTCGCCTTGTTTGTTTGGGTCGTGTGACGAAGCTTTGCTCGAGGTGAAAAGTTTCAGTATCAGCACGCAATGTAAGAGAAATCGATTAGATTGTCTGCGAAAATCTTACCAGAAATTATACCGAATGCTTTCGCAGGTATCACAAGAGAATGTATTTTAAAGTTTGCGAGGTTCGCATAAAACATAATGGTTGCAGGCGTTAATATGTCGCTTTAAACGTTAGACGAGATGTAAGCTTAAGTCTTTCTAGATTTCTCTTACAATTTGCTGTGACTGAAACTTTGCCAATCCCGTGAAGTTATTTCGTCGCACGGGCCACGCAGGTATTTCGAGCAACTGGCGCTTACGCTCACGTAGCTTTCTGTGCGCGCCAAAATCTAACCCTTACACAGTAGCAAAATCTTTAACAATATGGCCAAGGTTACAGAGAGCGATTCCAATTCCAGTTCCCGCGATCCCAATTCCAATTCTCCTTTGCCAATCGCTCTGAAAACTAAAAAAATATTTCTAATATCCAATGTCTGTTTTAGTCTTTTACTTGACCGAGGCAAGTCTAACGACACATAAAACAGAACGAAGCCAGTATCAACCCATTTTTTTCCGCAAATAAAGGTTTGGAAAAAACGATTGTATTTAGATCTTCAGGCCAAAAGTCATCAAGTTTCAGTGCTCCTCGGATGTATCATTATAGCTGTAACTCTTGCATGACTCTGATCTTCATCTTCGTTTCCAAAACGACTACAACTGAATGCCTTTTTGAAGGCCTGTTTAAACTGCGGATTAGTTATCCCATAGATGATTGGATTTACAACACTACTGGAGAACAACAAATACACAGACACCATAAGCACTTTATGTGGAATATACCCTCCAACAGTGATTATAAAACATACTAATCCCATTGGACCCCAGGTAATTAAAAAGAAACAAACCACTGTGAAACAACTCTTCAAAACATCGATGTCAGTGCGATGAAACCTTTGTGCACCGACGCCATTTTGTACAACATTGGCGTTGACATTATCCGTGCTTTCTTTAACTGTGCGATAAATTTTCCAGTAGGAGTAAATTATCGCACAGGTTGTCACGTTGAAGACCCCTGCATGCAATATGAGAAAAGAAACGTTTTCATTCCTCCAGTTGAAGACACAAATAAAGGAATCTGAGTCGAAGTTCATTTTTCCCCATCCGTACAATGGAGGCGTAGCTAGTAGCAAAGAAACCAGCCAGACAAAACCAGAGTACAACCAAGCAACTCTTTTACTGGAAAAGAACTTCGTATACAAAGCTCGCTTGACGACTTTTATGTATCTGTTCAGAGCAATTAAGCCCAAATTGAGCAAGGAGGCCAAACCCATGGTTTGTTGTGCTGATGCAGAAAATTCACACCATTCTTGGCCCAAATTCCACTTTCCCGTGTACAAGCTCGTTATCCAGAAAGGCATGCTAAGGGTCGCCATCAAGACATCAGTCAGTGCAAGATTGTGAATGAAAATGTTGGTGATGGTTTGCATCTCAGAGTATCTATTAATAACATAAACAACCAGCACATTACCAAGTACGGAAGCGAGGCAAACCAGAATAGCGAAAGTTACTTCCAAAACAATTTCTCCTCTCGAGCGATTGAGAGGATCTTGGGAAATCGTTTGAGACCGCATCCTCATCCGTAATCCAAGCTGCAGTAAATATGTAAATGATATATCAACAACAATTTCGGGAAGACAAAGCTATTACGTGGATCCATCATAAAAGTTACAATGTACAACTTTCTGATTTAGGCAAATGAAACTTTACAATAATCTTTTTTTCATTTTTGTCATTGAAACTGAGCCAACACTCAGCACAGCTCACAATACATCGCCTCCATATTCCTCAATGGATCTTTACAATTTCAGGAGTAACAAAGGGCATTTTTTCCATGGTCATCGTTCATGATCTTCAATAAACATAGTGCAACTTATTTCTTCATAAAATGCCTAAATGTTATATAATACTCACGTTTCTTAATTCACTGAATCTCTCAAACTCAGTTCGAAACCTGGTTAAAATCTACTTAACTTGCGGCTGGCTTAATGTTCCAAGATGCTGAGATTATCAAGCTACTTCAGAGAAAAGGATTGATTGCTAAGATTTCCGTTTTACAGTGGACTTAAATATGGTTTTATTGAATCCAAGAGAGCCATTATCACTAATTATATTTATATCCCTTTTTGCTCATAATCCTTTGTCAGTTATTCTTTTGTATGAGACTGAAACTGAGCCAACACTCAACAGAGTTCACAATACATCGCCTCCATATTCCTCAATGAATCTTTACAATTTCAGGAGTAACAAAGGGCATTTTTTCCATGGTCATCCTTCATGATCTTCAATAAACATAGTGCAACTTATTTCTTCATAAAATGCCTAAATGTTATATAATACTCACGTTTCTTAATTCACTGAATCTCTCAAACTCAGTTCGAAACCTGGTTAAAATCTTTTTAACTTGCGGCTGGCTTAATGTTCCAAGATGCTGAGATTATCAAGCTACTTCAGGGAAAAGGATTGATTGCTAAGATTTCCGTTTTACAGTGGACTTAAATATGGTTTTATTGAATCCAAGAGAGCCATTATCACTAATTATATTTATATCCCTTTTTGCTCATAATCCTTTGTCAGTTATTCTTTTGTATGAGGAGTAAAGTAAGTGGTCGAAAAAAGAAAGCAAAAAGAAAAAACAGCTTTCGTTTGTTCAGTAAAGGAAAATCTTCACCTCTACTGCGCAAACAGTTGAAAGCAAGTAGAAGGAAACAACTTCGTTCTCAGTTTTTGCCGTTTGCAAGAGCTTCCTAATTACTAAGGCTATGTTCCTCTCTGATCGTGATTAGAACTCCTTTGTTTTCCCAATCAGATAAATCACTTTAAATCAAAAGCTCACGGAATTATGCCCCCTTGTCGGTATATTAGTTGTCTGTTTAAAGTGAAAAAGCTTTGGCGTACTGGTAACAAAAGACATGATAGAAGGAAAATGACTCTGAACAGTTTGGATATTGGAGTCACAATTAAAGTGATTTATTTTGATCTGAACAGCATAAGAAATATAGAGTCTTAATGGGATTTACCGATAGCCGTAAAACGGTTGAAATTAAGCCGATTGGCGGAGAAATTGACAAATTTTAACCGAAAGTTGTTAAAAAAAAGATGACTTTCTTTCTGATAAAAGGGGCCAATACAAATTATCTTTTGGAGACGAGAACCACGCCTGTCAGAAATTCACCAACATGGAAGCGAAACTAAGAATAAAAAATCCTCTTAAATGACAACGCTTTCCGACATAACCAATGAGTCATTTTAACTCTTATGCCATCACGTGCCCATCTTTGATATTTTTCATAATATTTGGGTACATTATATTTTTGGGTCAAACATCAATGATGAGTAGTGTGTGAAATATAAGAAACAAATTTGCAGCGATACCATACAACAGCTATAGAAATCCCGCTTATGGGTCACAAAGCTTTAGTTTTAACATCAGGGCCGAGGAAACTTACAGCTTTATAGATGGAACGCTCACAGACACCAGTCATCGCATTAGATCAGTCACTGTTTGCTTTAGCAAAGCAAATTCAATGGATCATCGTCGAGTTCAGTGAAGTAAACCTTGTCCTAATGCTTGGGGAATTTCACATGGAGATGGCGTCCTTGAAATGGCTGAGTGGTAGTGGATGGAAGGAAGTTATGTGCAACGCTGGAGTAGCAACACAGGAGGAAGCTGAGTCATCCCTTTCGCCAACCATGTAACCCGTACACGATGTGCACACTAGGTGACAGCTGCAAGTCTGTATATTCTGATGAATAAAGCCTACAATGAATATCAAGCCAAATCAAGAGAGAACGAGCAAGAGAACATGTTGTCCAAAGAAGAATGGAAAGATGAAATGGCAAAGAAGTCACCACAGTTTCAGAACTGGTCCTCACTGCTCACACTAGAAGTAATCTGTCTGCGCCTTATCAGAGCCTTCCAAAAAGGTGACTTCCCCACTTACATCGATGCCTTGCGAGCGATACTGCCATGAATGTTTGTGATGGACCATTCTAATTATGCCAGTTGGCTTTCGGTTCACTACAGGGACATGTATGTCCTTCCATTCACGCATCCAGGTACGTACAGGTATTTCAGCCAAGGCTACTTTGCTGTGCACAAGATCACGGAGCTGTTTCTGTCATAGCCTTTGATCATGCGCACGAGCAGGAGAGTGCTAAAGTTAAATGGGAAGGAGGCACAGTTTGTCTCACGGAGAACCCATCATCTTTGAGAAGATGGATGGTGGAGGTCCTGAGCTCTCCAGGATGATTCAAGAGTTCGAAGGTAGTGACAATCCAACAGAGGAAAATGACCATCATGAACAGAAGTCAGGTACCAAGAGTGTATTCTGCAAGGAGGTACTGAATACTCTATCTTCATTTCAAGAACTTTGCAGCCCGATCCTAGAAGGAGTAGGAAACCTGGTTGCGATCCATACCAGGGAAATCGTGGATGATACGGTGGTACTAGCATCAACAAGAATTCCTTCTGACTGGAAAGGCTTTGCATGAGTCGACGGTAACAAGGACAAACTTTTCAAACTCATTGCAAACAAAGTATGTAACTGGTATTGCTTACTTTTGTAACAGAACTGTGTCTCTCTTGACAGACTTCAAACACCTTCCTATACATGCTTTAATCACAAATATTTGTATCATTTTTTTAAGGTGGTTTCACTGGAGGTTAGAGCATCTACTCTTCCTATGGCGAGGGTATCCTATCGAGTACTGAAAAAACGTAGGTGAGCTTAATCGCGCCTTGCACACATGAAGAAGCAGACACTCGCCTTATGGTCCATATACTTGATGCAGCCTCCAGCGGACATCGACGAATTAGAATAAGAATAAATGATACAGATGTTATTGTAGTTGCAATTTCAGTGGTTAGCACTGTTCCAACAAATGAACTCTGGATCACCTATGGATCTGGAAAGAATGTACAGGATATCCCTGCACATACAATAGCAATGCTCCTGGGTCCTGATAAAGCCTCGACCCTACCAATGTTGCAGGCGCTAACTGGGTGTGATACTGTTTCGTTTTTCGGAGGGAGTGGAGAAAAAGGGCTTGGGATGTATGGAAAGTGTTTCCTAAACCGACACTAGTGCTAAACGTCCTCAAAGCATCACCACAAGAGATCACAGAGGAATGCGTGGCTGTGCTTGAGAGGTTTGTTGCTCTTTTTTATGACCGAACAAGCAGCCTTACAATAGTAAACGAGGCGCAGGCGACAAATTCTTAGCTTTAGAAAAGAAGAGGCGAAGTTACATGAATAAATTGAAGATTTTATTAGCTGAACGTGAAAGAAGATTGACGATAAAGCGTCTAACTCTGCGTCGTTCTTGCAAAAAGAAAAGATTGGAGATGAAGATACCGCTAGATAGTCAAGAGGAAAATCTTTTGTTGGCATGATTTTTTATACCTCTGATATCCGAATGCGTAGCTTGTGATTCCGTCATAATGGATGTATTTACGTAGTTGAACTTGCGGAAGCGGGTCCCTCGAGGACGCACATGCTGCTAAGTTTTACAATGTAACGCATCTTATTATAATATTACACATGCTGGTGATTTCAGGGTAATTGATTCTTTGATCTTGTGAAAAGCTACGAGATTATCGTTAAAACTTTTACTGCTTACAAATGTTGGTTTTGAACTATATTCCAATGTTTTTTTGCGTCAGTCACAAGTTTGACGTCGACTCTTTTTCTGATGTTTTCCATTGTCTTACCGAACACACTGTTATTCATGAACTTGACAAAGCCTTTTTTAAAATGATTTTAGCAACAATTCTTTTTTGTGTGTTAAAATCAATGTACTGTTTGAATTGTAATACTCTGTGAACCTTCTTCAGCTTTAATCCAAGATTAAGATACAGTCGAAGGTACCTGTAATGAAGTACATATTTTTGTTTTCCAGACAATGTTGGAACTAGTTTTTTTAAGCCGCCGCATGCTTATGTTTAACTATTTGAAACCACCGGTTGGAAGATACTGACTCACAGCTCAACCATAGAGATTATTAACGTCCAAATACATGACTTGCTTTGACGGTGCCCTCTCATCGAAGTGTTTCATGTGTTTATTGTTTGCTTTTCCAAATCTGTCAAAAAAATATATGAGATACCGCTAGGCATTCCTTTTTCGATGAATTGAAACATGTCAATGTCATTGATCAGTTCCAATTGTATATCTGTTATTTTAAACATAGCATCTCAAGACATTCTTGGAGATGTAAATAATGACGTGGATCAAAATTCATTTTTTCCTGTAGTTTTTATCAATTGTCGGACACCAAAACTCTTGCAACGACAGGTGGTATGCTACCTCTTAATAAGATTTACTAAAAATTTACTTGTCTTGAAATATTTCTTACCTTATTTAGGCTTTGACGAGAAAAGAAATTCTGCTTTTTTTCTGAAACAAACCTTGGATTTCTGAGATCCATATTTTAAAGGGAAGTGGGCCACCTCCCTTTAAAATATTCTTGGATCTGCTCCTGGTTTTCACAACAACAGATGCACAATTTAGGAATATCAACTATCACTTTTTTAGCGTAAGAAACATCGCGCTGAATAATTATGGCGCTAATTGATTGATTTTGAGCCACTAATCAGACAAATCAAAGATCAAACGGAGTCCGACGACCTATATGACTACGTGCAAAGTTCTTTATTGTCATACGTTACGTCATTAGCAGCGAGAGTGAAAGCGAAAATCAAGTTTAGTTTTTCCCACGCCTTTTTGAGTGGCTTGGCTCTTTGTTTGTTTTATTTGAGCATTGACATGAAAAAACAAAGTAAACGGATTTGAATTTGCCCCCCTTTCCAAAACAGAACTCTAAAAGCTGATGGTTTTATCTTGGTGCAGCAAATGAATCGGTCTTATTTTAGGTTTTCTCAAAAATAAAACAGCATATTCACCTTAAGTTTTCCATGTGTCAGTTTCCCTGTGTTATCGCAAGGGTGCATTAGGGCGAAGTAACGCTCAAATGCGATAGCGACCAGACTAAACGCAGATGCAGCTGCTCCTGTCCACATCAAGTTTCTCCTGGTCAAGAATTTACGCTGGAATGTTCCTATAACTCCGTCAGGATGCTGGGAAGTGGGGATCAGAACGAACTGTGGCGCTATAAACAGCGCTACCATGATATCAGTAAAAGCCAGATTGACCAGCAAATAGTTAATAGGCGTCCTAGAAATAAAATTGACTTCTCTATCTTGCTTCATAGTTTCAAATTGCTCTCTGTCTCTAAATTTCACCTGTGACAAATTATGTTTTCAAATCCCAAAATAAAACAACGGAACATAACATATCTTCCATCTTTTCAAACAGATATAGAAACTATTTTACGATTGGTTTTAACAGTGCTTAGAAAAATGCCTCTCTTACAATATTATAATATATTCAATCCTTCAGAGGTGATTTATACTCAAGATAAACGTATATTGGATATCACCGCTCTCTCTATCAGTGATCACGGTCTGGGCTAAATCGGTCGACATGATGGATTTTCTTTCTCTTTTCGACTGTAATTTTCTCCAAAACGATTTTGGCTGTGTAATTGAAAGATTCCTTTTGTCGGTAAGGAACAATTCAAAAACTGAAATAATTGAAAATTAGGCCCTATGTTTGTTTTTATAGTGATCCAATGCGTGTTTTCATCTTGAGTGCGCCAACGCATTTTACGATTTTTATAAGATGATTGCTGATCCCTTAATTTTCATTCATTAATAAAGTCGACTTTTCTTATCAGTAACGGGCTATTGTTTTTATATGATAAACAAAATAATACATGGTTGCTTGTAGATATGGAATTTCTCTTCTCGTGTTCAACTCGACATCTCACTCGTTCGCTGTGCCCACTCGTGAACTATCGATTTAAACACTCGAAGAGAAACTCTATATCTACGCGCGCCCATGTATTATTCTCTATTTACCAACCTGTTGCAAGTTGGTTTGTTTAGTAGGAGTATTTTGTTTGAATCACAAAGTGTACACCACTTTAGAGGATGATGTAACCATTACTGACTCTGGGGAAACTCCAAGAACAAACCATCAAGTTATAGCTTACGCATAATTATAGGCTGGATGATAAGTAACTGAAGTCTTCACCTCAGCAACACGAGGATCTAAATGCTTTTCAAATTTGAAGCACTTACCTTGGAATAAACTTGAACGATATGCGCTACGGTCTGTGTTGTTCCATCACGTGCCGGGGTAACATGTACAAATAATGACAGCTCATTATGATACGTATGTTTCCTACCGTAGATTAGCTTTTTGCGCCTGTATTATTTAGATGTCAAACGATATCTAATTTAAAAAAAAAAGGAAACCGATAGATGCAGAGCAAGGATATTGCTTTTGCTATATGATTACTCACACGATCAAAGTTTGCTTCACGATTTCAAGTTCGAATTGTAAGTCGGGAAACTCGCGCTAATAGTCTAATGGTAACCTTCATGTGTCAAAGAAAAAAAAGATAACCCACATCCTGTAAAAATTGAGATGGATTCTTCTCCGTAAAAACTATCAGTCAGGTACATTTCTTACAAAAAGGCTAAAAAACGAACTGTCAATTCTAAATATACTGAAGGACCTTACTGTATGTTTTTGGGAATCACACTTTTATTTGGGTGATTCTTTACACGTGCACTTCCAACTTTAATGGTCGTTTGTAATCATCTTACACGTACCCTCAGGGTACTCACACTTTTCTCCCGCCGCAGTTTCTAACTATTCTATTCATCTAAGCCCTCCCAACCGATTTTACATGAATGCGTTGTAGAGCAAAATTGTTTTTTATCATGTTGTTTATTTATCCAGTTTTATAATCGTTTTGTTTATTTAATATGTTTGGTTAACTTTGAGAATCTAATGACCTTGGCCGAGTAAAAATGTGCTTTTCATAAGTTCGATACAGGTGGCCGTATTTGAGGAGAGCACAAGGTGTAAAAGAGATTTTAAGACAACATCGTTTTTGAAACAAAACATCGACACAAGCCATAGCGTTTGTTTTTTTCTAGGTCAAACGTACAGGTGAACGGAAGACTAGTTTTAGTTGTTAATTTTATCACAAGTTACAGTATCCTCTACGCATCATTATCATTTAATCTTGTTTATCTCCAGCTCGTGGTCTGTGTAACTAGACATGGACTTAATTCAGTGTTTCATCTTAGGTTTATCCTGGTCCCATGGCGTGTAATCTTATTCCGGATTTCCCGGTTCCACGAAATCTTGGATAATTTTAATGCTGACCCCAAGTAAAACCTCAATTGACAGGACTGTCCCGACGAAGACCTTTAAATCTTCAGTCTAAAATAACTTTTCTCCTGTTAAATCCACGCCTACGCTAGTGGTCTGTTTTTGATTTATGAAGCAGAGGAACTCTGGTTTGGCTCAAAGACTGAATATCTCTGTGAATGGTCGAAGCATTAATCCCTGAATTTGTGTTAGAGGTCTCATTGCCTCTTCCCATGGCATGAACTCTGTTTCTGTCAGTACCGCTACCATGGCAACTCAACAGAGCCTTAATATGCTTCCTGAAGCGACCATTCACATAGGCGTAAATAAAGGGACTAACGGTTGAGTTGCACACAACTAAAACAATGGAAATGAGGTGAGCTGCGTAAACAAGGTTATGCTTTGAGCCGAAGTGTATCATGGTATAGATGGCGAGGTCTGGAGTCCGACAGAGTCAGTAAGTGATACTAACTGCAACAACCATTTTTGTGACGCGCTTACGCACTCTAATGACGCCCTAAAGCGAAAAATTCCAAAACATCATTTCAAATTCAGGAGCTTCTGGGAAGATAACTCAGTGAAGCCAGTCTTTCTTTTCAGTAGTTATTCCCCCTGGGATCTTAGGCAATCTTAATGGTTTTTGGAACTACGTATGTCTACCATCTCTAGCGGCGCAAGACCTCCTCTTCATCATAACATGTTCGTAATTGGTTTTCGGGTTTCCTCTCGGGACTACTCGAGTGCGATTTCTCGCTGTTGTTAGCCATTACTGACGAAAAGTTAATAAAGAGATTTTTCAAAGCACGTTCAGAGTTATCGTTCCGCTACTTTTCGATAAGTAATCGCGTTTTCCTTTCAACT